TCCTGGCCTGGTCCTTAAAATAATGCGCGACGGAAACGATATTTATATATTATTGTGTGCGTTTTTTTTTGTCGGGCCGCACCTAGTCCGCGTGCGCGGAGTGGCTTTTTCGCCGTTACATTATTATTATTATTATTACTCAGAAATAGACGGCCCAGCACATTATAATACGTATATTATGCCGAGCGTTATTATATTACGACTTTATACACGTAGGTATATAATATGTGGAGTGTAATATAAAAATTTTAGGACCGGAGAGACGCGACGACGGTTTGGTCTTCGCATATTATATATTATTATTGTATACTCGGTGAATAGCGAATAGCGTATAGTCCGTGTCCGATTGACCCGCTTGCGGACCAGAATTTAACGTGTGACGCGTGTGGGTGTCGCGAACGGGTTAAGTCGCAAAAGTCGTTACAGTTTTTATAATGTCATGTGACACACATATACATATATATAACTGTGTAACACTATATATGTATTATGTGGCCACACTACACAAGCATGTATGAATTTTGCATTTTTGCAGATAGGCGAATTCCGACGACTATGGAGGCGCGTCGTGAACATAAAAATTACACGTGCCGCCGCCGATGTGTACAGATAAGATGATATCGCTTGTATATTTTTTTATTTTTCATCTTTTATCCGCGTAAAAACATATATAAATAGTATGTATGTACGTCACCACCGGCAAAGTATACTCACACGCATTATTGTTTTTTTTTTTTTTTGTAAATAAAAAGTAATTTCAAACACATATTATGCAGTTGTGGTTTGGATAAAAATCGACATTTCTTTGAAACTGACTTTGTGCAGTTAAATAAATAAATTAGATAATATTATTATCGTCGGATCATCGAATTCCGAAAAAAAGAATATAAAAAAAATTGTATTTTACATCCTATGTTATAATAGAATCATCGAACGATATCGAGTGACGCAGACGAAGCAACAACATTAATATTTTGCGCACCTATCGTTTTAGACTTCCCAGTATCCGAGAAATAAAAAAAATACAATACGCGCAGTTTGAGGAAGAGCGCGTATAGTATTATTGTCATACTTTCACGGCTCGAATTACCATACACCAATTGTTACAATACTCTCTTAAGTTGAAGGTACGTAATACGAAAACTTTAAAAGTTATATTATGCTCGTTCGCGCACTGCCGGAGAAAGAAAGATAAGTGATCCGTGAAAAAGAAACGCTGCAGTAGGTATCAAATATACTATATCATAACATTACATTATACATAGGTATTTACTTATATATTAGTTATTATAAAGGTACAAGCAGAAAGTCGTCTTTTGTTTCTGTAAAACACGCGTATTTATCGCATCGAGCGTCGAAGAATGTCTAGGCCGCCGACATGCTATATTTTTTTAATTTTTTTTTGTATTAAGGTTTCACTTTTTTTTTGCCAAAATATGAAAATATCGAAAACGCATAAACATAATAATATTATTCATAATAATAATATCATTATAATACGAGGAAATTGTACATGGTGGCAGGTAATAGCATGATATTATAGTCTGGCAGAAATAGAAAAAAAACAAACTCTTAATTAACACGCGTTCATTCGCGGTCGAGTTACATGCACGCGTAAAACCAGGACGGACGCACAGCAGCGGGAAGTTTCGAAAACCGGAATTTCCGATTTTTTCTCCTCCGGCCATCGCTGTTATATTATGGTCATCGTTGATTCTAAAATTTGTTTTTAAATTTCCCTAATAAAAGTTTTCGCTTTTTTCAAAGTACCGCGACGGCAAAGATGCAACGCGTATGTAAAATGATATTCTTTAAATGTTTAATGTAGGTATAACTTAAACCAAACAATTGGTCGTAAACACTAAGTAATAATTTATTTTTAGTCTTTTCGCGGTACGATTATAATGTGGACGGGTAATTAAAACAAATGGCGGCCTTGCAATGGTTTATGCGAATTGTTGAAAAATAACTTTTTTACCATACGATGTACATAGTACATACAGTGTCATAAGAAGACACTTTGGTTAGGTTAATTACCTACTCCTCCAAAGTCCCTCACTCGTACAAGCCACAAAACAAACAATTTCATGAATGTCTTTAATTATTAAAATTTATTATATAGAGCTAAAAACCACAATCAATATATTATATTACTTAGTTTAGTATATAGTAGCTAAAAACCACAATCAATATATTATATTACTTGGTTAATAGTATATAGACATATAGTATATATCTACAGGTTTTATTTATAGTTACCTATTAAATATTGTTCTTAGTTTTAAGTAATACTATCAAATAATAAAAATTTTAAGAAATAAAATGAACACCCTCAAAAATACAATTTTCGAATAATATGTGTTTTAGCTCTACAAAATCACTTTCCAATCATTTACGACAGATCTCCGTGAACTCGTTTTTACTATGACGTTCCATGCGAGTGAGAGACGGAGATAATAACATCTCGCGTGTCGTCCTCTCGAGGCGCGTATTTATGTATTTATTACACATGTAATAAACTTCGATTTTGCTATACTCATTAGGTATGCATTCACGGTATAATATATCGTCGTTGTAATTAAAACGTGCTCATGATATCCAGCTACTCTGGTCGATAAGTCGTTCTCGATTTTCGATCATCCGTTTTACATTCAAGGTACCTACTGCTGGTCGTATAAGTTTGATGTAATTTTTCGGTATCTACGTTCAATTTCTAGAGTGGCACTGTAAAACGTCATTACGGGCACTTGCAGGTTTATTATTGCTCTGAATGCGGTCTCGGTACAATTAACGATCGGCTGACTAGGGGGTACCTTATTGAGCAATATAACATATTTACGACGGTGTGGTAGCAATAAAATTCGCTATCGCCACTGATTTAAGGGTACGGCGACGTGGGTCGTTTGTGCATGTACATTGTATACTGCGGGAATACATCTTTCAACGGCGATAGTGCAGCAATGAGCATGACGTAGTCGTTGCCAACAAACTGTTGCGGCAACTTACTATAGTTGTAGGTGTACCTACATATTATATTTATTTTTATGGTGGCGTTCGACGACCTTTCTCAGACGACAACGCGCGAAATACGTAAGTTTGAGACGCGTGTTATCATCAAACGGTATTTTACTCGGTTTTTTTTTATAATTTTTCTTTCGTCAATGATTTACACACGACAATCTGGCGTAAGTATATATAATATTATAGGTACAATAATATTTTTAACACCCGACCAATTACCTCGGGCGCGGTATCGGGTAGATGGAATGTCATATTATTTTTTTTCACCGTTTCGAAACACTCTCGTGTCCATGTGTGTGTGAGTTCACTGTATACACTGTATAGAGCAACACGACAACCCAAGATGCAGCATCACCAGACGACGCGATTGACTATACAGAAACAACGCGCGGCAGACAAATTACGTCTTCGTCTATATAAAATACAAGTTGTACGTGTGTGTGTGTTTTTTCTTACCGCTTCACGTAAAAAATTAATAAAAAAAATCAACTTCTCTCTACCTGACGCGCGAGCACATACACAATATTATGTTTCCCTGGTCCGCGACGGTCGCGGTCGTTCGGGGTACCTTTTGTTTCCCGAGAGTAAAACGATGGTGGTAATAATAATAATAATAACAAAAAAATCCATTCCCACCGATCGCACGTACATAATAATAATAATATGTGTATTACTGGTAACTGGAAGAACAAACGATATCCTAACGACTAACGAGCGATGTGGTGTAGTGACTATACAATATTTATATATAATACCATGGCCGTTTCCGACGAAGGGTCTCCTCGCACACGGCACTGGAAAATGTTCAAGAAAGCAACAACGTGCACAATGCACTATGCACATAATAATTTTACGTCATCACAAATGTATACTTTTTAATTATTATAGATACATCTCATCAATATATATGCAAATAAAAAATAATATTATGATACATAAGTACAACTGCTGCAGGACAGAAGACACTGGCACACTGCAGATTGGACATCGACCGAAAGTCGAGATTTGTAGTAGGTTTTGTATTTAAAGGTTTTGTAGTAGGTTTTGTTTTTAATACCTAATATTAACTATCATATACAAAATCTATGGATGATTTATACGATTGGAGTCGAGCGATGGGTCGTCGTCATTGCGTAACGCGCCTCCGCCGTGTCTGTCGTCCAATTTTCGTGTCAAAAGTCATTGTTAGTGTCGATCGGATCCGCGTTATAAACACGCACATATTATACAAAAACGGGTATATTCGTTACACTTTCAAAATATATTATATACGCCGCAGCGGCGGTTGTTTGGACAAAATGTATAAAAACTATTATCCGCATAATAATATTATCTGTATCGCTGAATCTCTGCTGCGCGCGCGTTTAAGTCAATTATAGCTTTCGTTTCGTTTGCCAGTGCCCAGTAGGCATTTATGTTACGTATAGTACTATAGTAGTTATAGTGGTACAGTCGTAGTAGTCTGTAAACAACGCACCGAGCGTTCTCCTACCTAAGTTTTCCTACCTCCTATAAGACGCAATTATTGAAAACCGCACGTGGAACGATGACGACGGCGACTCTAACAAATTGATAATATGCCCGCCTTACGTAATGCACAGCGCGTGATAAATAGATGAATCGAAATTGACTATCTCATTGTCTGTATCTATAATATACTATATTATAATACATAGGTAATATTATACTATATTAAACACCGGAAATAAAGGCTGGCTCTATGCTCAATAAAGGGTTGTTTTCGGTTTGCAGTATTGTCAAAGGTAGGCGATGACAAAAACATTTTTTTTTTTTAAAGGTTTGTTACCCACTGAACATTCGTTTCACTCAAGCATAACACATCTATTTATTCTAACAAAACTTTTACTTATTTTATATTGGACTTATATATACCTATACAAATAGTAAATAAATATTCTTTTAGAATGAAAAAAAATGTACGTAAATATGTTATAATAACGAAACCTATAGAATAGAAATCATGAACAAGCTAAACGAACCTGTCTTAGACCATCCAGCCTTCCCATGGACTTTGACCCTTGGTGATAGTTGCCGAGCACGGGAGCGGCCGTTGGGGCGGATATGTCCAACCGGGCCGTGGACTTTGATTTTGTCAACAGCAACTGTTTCCTGCTGCGGTTCTTTTTCGTCGACGACGACGACGGAGGCGGATTTCCGGCGTCCTGCTGCAATAATTGGTGTTGCAGTATCAGGCCACGGCGATAGCCGACGGTAGCCGACGATGTCCCTGCGCAACAGGCGTCCTCGGGCTCGGACTGCACGTCCCTGTACTCGTCCTTGAGACTGCGCCGGTGCGCTGGGCTCTTGTACTTGCGTCGCGACATCTTCGGCGAGGTCACCGGCGACGTGGTCGGCGAGAACGTCTGAAAGCGATTGATGATGGAACCGAACATTGCTGGAGGCACGGCACATCAAACCCGGTCCCGAAAAAGCAACGATTGTATCACAGTATAAGCGCAAGTACGAACGTCTATCGTACGCACACGCGCATCGCACACCGCAGGGTCGGTTACTCAATACCTATAAAATATATTCGCGTAGTCTGTGTTAAACGCACTAACACATAGGTACACACGCACACGGCACAACACCAAAGATCGGAAATCCACAACACTCAGCACGTACGGTGGCGGTATCGAATAATAAATATATATGTTTAACACCACGCGTAAAACGGTCTCGGAGAGACGGCGGACGCTCGCGTACACACACACAATGGGCGAGAAAAAATAATATTATAATAAGTTGGCAGCGGAAACTCGACGAAAATTAATAAACATAAAATCGGAACGACCGGCGACAACGAACGTCCTCACGCAACCAGTTCGCGGCAACACACTGATCCGGCTGCCCAGACAAACCATTAAAAATCCCGAAGCCGCGTAGCTGCTCGTCGCCGCCGTGCCGACGGCTGCGTTCATATGTATGTACTATGTATGTATATATTATATGTGTGTGTATGTGAGTGTATGTGAGTGTGTGTGTGTCTGTGTGTTTGCGTGTTGTCCGTGCCTCTCACCCGCTCCGGTCCGCCCCGTCGATTGACGGCGGCGGCGGCGGCGGCCTCCCCTCTCAGACACCGCCGTCCCCTCCACCGCCACCGCCACACCGACCATCGGTATAATATATTATAGGAGGCACGCACACGGTTCACCGGCGCCCGGGAATTTCCGATGAGCTCTCAGTCACTGCAGCAGCCGCCGCCGATCAACCCCTTTGGCCCTGGACCGCGCACCTCCCCAAGGTCGCCCCGGGTAAAGTTTGCCCTCCCCTCCACAACCGGACTCGGGAGATATTACTGCGTGTGTGTTGTTGGTATATGATTTTTTTCATATTATTATGTTATAATATAGTATGTGCGTATAATATATCTCGTATGTATAATAATTATAATATATTTGTATGCCTTGAGGCGATAACCACGCCGAGACCGGACAACGGTATAATAAACACGTTTTTATAAATGTGATTTTATGTATCGCGTGTTCAAGTTCGCGAGTACTTGTCGCCGTCAGTCGTCAGATGATGAACATATTTATTTATTTTAAGCTTGGGTTTAAAATTCGAGCACGTTTTCACAGCAGCAGTGTGTGTATTTGGTAGTTTGGTACCTAAATACTATTCTCTCCCCGCATGCATTGTACGCACACATTGCACACAATACTATAATATGATGTATACGCACGTCGACGGCGGCGGGTCAATGACATTCTTTAAAAAAAAATTTAATTTCTTCCAACATCGGTTATGTTGCGGTTTGATCAAATTTCCGAGAAGTAAAAAATCATTGATTCGGGTAAAGCCGGACAACTCATTACCATCACGCGCAAACGCAACTGTACCACGACTCACGAGTACTTACCTACCTACCTTCGTCGCGCGCCGTGTATAGGTTAGCTCTATATGACTACACAAGAACTCTAAAATAAATTATAGTGCATTTATTTTAATATCTTATAATATATCTTATATTGCATATTAATTTATTATATTATGCATACATCAGTATCACCATGATACATCATCACAGTGATTGATCGAACTGGCAAATTTTCCAAGGCGTAAAACTGAAATAATTAAGTACTCCTATTTTTTTTTATAATTAAACGACGTTTGTGGCCGGAACACCATTATTACAATTATTAACACATTTATTGTTATGTGGTGCCTGTACCTTCCGCGGTGAGCAGGCTGTACGCCTAGTTACCTATACCTAACTATATTTCAATATACATTATAATGGGTTCATTAACCAACCGCGATTCAATTAAAACCTACTACAAACTAAAAGCCCATTAAGATGGTTTGCAACCGTTTTATAGACTATATTATCTCGATTGCGGTCGTTAAACGGACCTCTCGCCGTCTTGTATTATATAGTTGTAGAAATGTAGAATACATATAATAATATTGTACATGGGTATAGGTGGTAGTGTGGTACATTACTATATTATTGTGATGACCGTGCAAAACTACCACGTGGAAAATATGTACAACTTGTATGAGCATGACTGCATGAGACACTATCTTCCTGACGTGATACACTACGAGCCGATAAAGAATAATTTAAATGAACTACTCGACATGATCATGATGACAAATTATAAACGAGGCCACGAGGGCGTTGTTTTAATAAGACCTACATTTCATGTATTATGATATTATATCATACTGGGATTCAATTAAGTCCGCAAAATTATTGGAGAAATTTCGAGCAATTTAATTTCCACTATATATTATAATAACTACCAATACCTATGTCCTATAGTTCTAAATAATTGATTTTCAACTGTACGAGTTTTTCAATTAGTGTTCTACGAATAAAAAGCCAAACGGGATTAAGTACTTGGCTTAGGTACCTACTTTACTATGCTAATTACACACAATAGTCCTATAACAGGCTAAAGTTTCACCACTATCACTAATTATGAAAAATTCGATACCTCGTAGAGAAATACATAAATTATTTATCCGCTAACTTTAGGGAACTCATTCGATGGAAGTTCATTTTTTAGAGCAATCATTATTCATTACATATTTTAGTGTTTGTAATATTATGATGTTAGATTGAAGCCATGAAGGATATCATATTTTATCAAAATGTATTTAATATGAATTAAAAACAATTCTATTAATTTCGCTTGCACACGTTTTTTAAACGGATTATATTTACAAAGATGTCTGTATAATTAATGTTAAATATTATAATAAATTCTTGTTATTATTATTTCCTTGTGTATGGACGTATTAACTATTAAATTTGAAATGTATACGTGTCTTATACTTAAGTTTTGAATTAGATATTGAATATATAATTAAAAACCTTGAAGATTTTTAATTTTTCAAATGAATAATAAATCTGTTGTTGTGGATGTGGACATCCACTACTTAATTATTGTACATAATAATATATATTATAATTAGATATAAATATGTATACAATATACATAATAGTCAGTCACAAATCACAATAATAAATCATCAAGCTGTCAAATAATCATTATCTATTGGCTATCGTGAAAAAATATCATATTGATCTGCTGTCAATGTAATAATATAGATATAGGTAATAATATAAAATAATATATAAACGTAAACTTAATACCTACTTATAATCCATATATTATATTCTTATATATTATAGGTACTATATCGTCCGTATCTATAATGATTTAAATTTATTGACTCTGACATGTATTAACCTACCATGTAATATATTGTATACTTGTCGTGCTGATTGTTTTCGCGAAAAATTGCATAACCCTTGTCGTGTGGATAATGTTTCCTAATTAATTCGTTTTGATATTATAATATATGTTTGGAACGAGAAGAAATTTACAAGAACGCGCGCGACACGCCCAAGGTGGTTGTGTTCCGCAAGAGTGAATTGGTTGACTTTCCATCGGAAGTGCATTATACACTGCATGTCTGCATAGTGCATATTATACGGATTGTATACAATATAATATATTATATTAATACGCTGCACGCTTTAGTGCTTTACTCAATGACATTATACTACGGGTAATCGAGCGTATAGGACGCTACTATAAAAACTACTACACAGCAACGATGTAACTAATATTTAAGCTTCCCTGTATACGCCATACATACGATAATATCATATAATTAACATACACTTAGTAAAATATGCCCATCCCCTTTTAATCGCTTTTAACAGATTCTTCAGACTCAACGATGCGACTACACATTACCCCTCCGCCACCGCCATCACTCATCAGTCATATAGAGTTGAATATACTACTTGTATTCCGTTATTCCCGACCACGGCTTTATAGATTCTACCTACAGCCGTGTTCCCGACAATATTATTACATAGATCATATACTGAATTATCTACTGTTATCTAAGGCGTCCTCTGCAGGATCGATGCGATATTGGCATTATAAAGATATGCTATCACGCATGGTGACAAAACATATAATGTTATAAAGTGTAAATTATGATGCAGCATAGTCATCCCCAAGACAAACGCATTTCCAAGCAAGGGTATATACGTGCGTAACCGTTACGTAACCGAAAACAGATTTTGCGTAAAAATTCCCGTTTTTCCATAATTTTTCTTTTGTTTTTCCCGGCGCTTTTGAAAACTACTGGGAAATTTATACTTTTGACCCCCCAAAGTACCAACTAGATTCAATTTCCAATCGAACAAGATACTGAAGTTGAAAATCGATGCATTATTTCGACTACTTATCGTGACACAGACACAAAAAAAATAAAAAAACACAGGTCCGTTACATTAGCACCACCAAATTTGAAATTCCAAAAAAAAATTATACCAACGATTGTTATTTCATTTGTACACATTTGTAATCCTAATATAAACATTTGTACACCACCCCAAATACCCAAAAAAACGAAATTTCCGTGGTGGTGCTAATGTAACGTTACATCAGCACCCCACTTTTTGTACAATCGAGTTATCAGCCCCAAAATGGTACCAACGATTGTTATTCCATTTGTACACATTTGTAATCCTATTATAAACATTTGTACACCACCCCAAATACCCAAAAAAACGAAATTTCCGTGGTGGTGCTAATGTAACGTTACATCAGCACCCCACTTTTTGTACAATCGAGTTATCAGCCCCAAAATGGTACCAACGATTGTTATTTCATTTGTACACATTTGTAATCCTAATATAAACATTTGTACACCTCCTCAAATGCCCCAAAAAACGAAATTTCCGTGGTGGTGCTAATGTAACGTTACACCAGCACCCCACTTTTTGTACATTGGTCTTAGGGGCCCCAAAATGGTACCAACGATTGTTATTCCATTTGTACACATTTTTAATCCTAATATAAACATTTTTACACCACCCCAAATAGCCGAAAAAACGAAATTTCCGTGGTGGTGCTAATGT